GATCGGCCGAGGTCTAGGGTGGGGGAAGGGGATGCGCTTGTTTACCGGGGACTTAACGTCGCGCCGGGAGGTCGCGCCGTGCATTGGTGTATTGCAGATTTGATTAAAGGTAATTTGCAACGAGATTGCCGACAGGATGGGGTTGTTTCGGCAACTACCTACTACGGTGTGACATCTTTTTGGTTTGCGACGTCGTTAGTGAGAACTTGTGAACGTAACGTGCAGGCGGGGTTATAGGTGTACGGGCCAAAAAATTTGCTATTTCTCTAAGGGTCGGTTGAATCACCTCCATAATCATTTCTAACTCGTGTCTTAACTGTTCCTTTTCTTTTTAGATCTATGTAGGTTAGTGCCTATGTCTTCGGTCGTGGGCGGGGCAAACCGTTCATTGTTTGCCCCGCCTGCCCAAAATTATTTTGAACCAAGTAAGTGGATTCCCTTTCCCTCTATATGTTAAGTGTTGCTTTATATGTGTAGTGTAAATCTAACTCATTTTTTATGTGGTATTACAGAATGAACCTGGAACCTAAGTTTGCAAAATTATAGAAGTCTGCCGCCACCAAGATCGTTACACTAACTAGTATCTTTTCTGCCACAGGTAATTAAAAATGTAACGTATTGTTGGTATTTTTATCTGTCAAATAATGTATGTATATTATTAGTTAAAAATTGTCTTTTTGCTTTGTAGGTATTCATCAAGCTGAACAAGAATTCCGTCCCTAGTCAACTGTTAGTTCTAATTCTATTGGTAAATAGTTCTTCTTCTCTTTCCCTGTCATAGTGTGTTAACATTTATAAGGTTCTTAAGTCAACTATGTTTGTACGTAATGTTTCATGTTTATACCAAAGTATATAAGTGTTAATGCTATATATTATTTTTAAGTTCAAGAAATTGTGATCTTTAGTTTTGATACCTATCTAGCCATGTTGTACCTTTTGGATTCTATTAATTTGTTGTAATGGAAGGTAGTGAGAGTGAAGGTCTGTCTGATGACTTTGAGCAGCCTCAGAAAAAAGCATCGGAAGACAATCAGCTGAAAGCCCCTACCAAAGAACATGACGAAACATCTGACAATGTTAAGAAAAGTAAGGTGAAAGTGAATTTTAAGTGCAGATATTGCACATCGTGTTTTACTGTGAGGAGCAACTGCACTCGTCATCAAAATGCTTGTCCTTCGAATCCTGAGAGAGAGGCACCTGAATTTGTGTGTGCAAACTGCAATTCTTCCTTCAAGAGGAGAGATAATCTTCAGGCCCACATCCTCAAATGCCAGCCTAGTGCAAGGGTTCAAAAAAAGAAAACTCCCTGCTTGATCAAAAACTGTCGTGAGGAATTTTACCACAAGATCTCGTTGATTAATCATTTGCAGGAATTTCACAAAGATGATATTAATGTACTTCCACCGGTGACAAAAACATTTTCCTCTGCAAAGGAGTTTAATTCCTGGAAGGAAGCTGAGGAGGAGAGAACCTTTTCCCTCTACACAGCCAAGAAAGGTCAGGCTGCTAGTTCTGCAAAGCATTTCTACTGTCAACATGATGGTTCTGGCAAGCCTCACTCTGAGAGAAAAACTAGCAGACGCAACAATAAGCAGCGTATCAAAGTTGGGCACTATTGTATCTCGAAAATGGCTGTTAGGGTGGATGATACTAAAGCCGTTCATGTAGAATATTACCCAACTCATAACCACAAGTGCAGTAAACAAGATTTGGTCCACCATCCTCTTCCAGAACACATGTCAAGGTACATAGAGGAAAAATTAGCAGAAAATACCCCAGCTACAGTGGTTTATGAGCTTGCAAGAGAGAAATTTTTGCCAAGAAATTCTCCTTTTGTTGTAGACTGCAAAGCCAGCATATTAACAAAGAAGAGAGTACTTGAGCGGGGCAGAAGAAGACGTATGGCAAGAAGGTTACATAAAGATGATGCGAAAGCAGTGTACCTTCTTGCCACTCAATTAATAGACAGTGAAGATCCATCAGTACTTATTTTCAAGCCTTATGGAAGTGATGTTGTCTGTGGGCCAAAAGAAATTAATGACTTGCCTAATTCTAAGGACCTTTTTATGTTTGGGTTCCAAACAAAGAAGCAGCTTGAGACTTTCAAACTACACTCTGGTAAAATAGTAATTCTTGATGAAACCCACGGAACAAATCAGTATAAGTACCAACTACTGAATGTGATGGTTGTAGATGAAAATCGTAGAGGCTGGCCTGTTGCACATCTAATTACTAGCAGGTCAGATGCAGATACATTTCATTTTTTCTTCCAAGAACTCAAATCTCGCTTGGGTGATGAAGGCAGTATTAATTGTGTCATCACAGATGACGACCCATCCTTAATTAATGGTATGAATTCTGGATTTTCTGCCAATTTAAGACATATATTGTGTAAGTGGCACGTCTTCAAAAATTTTAAGGACAATATTAGACAGAAAGCTCCAAAGCATCTTTTTGACCAGATTTTATCAGAAGTTAAAGCGATTTTAAATGCTGAGAGTGAGTCTCTCTACTCTGAACTTGTATCTGGCTTTAAGAGGAAGTATGAAAATAATTCTGATTGTGCTGAGTTTCTTAAGTACTTCAAGAAGTATTACCTAAAGAAAGGTAGACCTGAAAAATGGGCCATGGCCTTTAGAAACTTTCCTCACTCAGAAGTCAACACCACTGGGCACATCGAGTCATTTCACAATCGACTGAAAAAGGTGTACCTCAAGAGAAAGGTAAATAAGAGGCTTGATGACCTAATTAATATACTTTATGATGTTGCCTGGGAAGATTATCTCACTCGTGAGAGAGAAGCTTCCACAGGATTTTCCTCTCAGCCTCAGCACATTATTGAAAGGCATCAACGCAGTGTCTCTATGGATGATGAAACAATTGTCGATCTAGGTTTGGGTAATACCTGGGAGATGAAATCTTGCACTGGCAAAAGTGCAGTGTATGTTGTTGTTAAACACAAAGAAAGCTGCTCCTCTGATTTTTGTTTCTGTAGATGTACCAAACCTGCTTTTATGTGGACTGTGGACTGTGTGCTCATCTTTTCTCCTGCAGCTGTCCCGATCACCACCCTATCTGCAAACACATCCATAAGTTGCAGTCATTTCTGAAGAGAGGAGAACCTTGCAGTGTTGTGGAGGAGCCTGACTTTTATGTTTTACCAAACCATAAAACTGAAGATGAATTGAACAATAATGAAGACTTTTTTTTTGATAACAATGTTACTGATAATTCTGTCCATGACAAAAAGTGGCAGTCATTGCTTTCTAGATTGCAGTCTAACTTTGTCCAACTTGACAAATTTATAGCTGTTGCTCAACAAAGACTTGTTTCTCAACACACACTTGTTCGTGTTGATGCTGTACTTTCAGATCTTGTGAGTAGTTTTGGATCTTTAGATCTTAATGCTACATCTGAGAAAAAGCTGGAGGACATTCCTCATATGGATGCTGCTGTGAAATTTACTCCCAATGAAAAGCTCAAGACTCAAATTTCTCAACTTGCTCCTTTTAAGAGACCTACCAAACGAAAGCGAAAGCAAGATGTGGCAGACCTATCTGCTAAGAAAAAAGCTGCTATTGATGATCTTTTGACCTATGCTCAAGTTGAAAATGATACTAGTGATACTGATAATCCCAATGAGCTTTTAGAAGAACCTGGAATGGTAGATGATGGAATCACTGAAATGGATGACTTAAATGAATCTGCCTTTATGATTAACAACAATTCTCTGATTGATGATGATAGTGTTAACAGTAACAGTTGCTTCACTCTTAGTGCTTCTTATGTGACTGATCCATATGATATTGTTTTAGAATGTGGACAGGAGAAAATTTCGTTGATTCATTTGAAGTCATTAGAACTCCATTTACCACTTCATGAAATAAAGATGTATGAAAAGCGAGATCCAATATTTAAAGTTGGCTGGTTATACTCATCAATTATTGATGCTTTTATGTTTAAATTGTCAGAAAATGATGTTTTCTGTCTATCATGTGATCTTGCTGAACGCGCTTCAAGACAAACATCTAATGCAGATATTTTGACAAAGAAGATTGATGTGATCAAGAACAAACGAGTTATTCTGCTACCAGGAAATCTTACTGGGGATCATTGGATCATTGTTGCTATCATGCTGAAAGAGAACGAAATCCGTTATTATGATCCTCTCCAATGCCCCATAAGCCTCAAAACTTTGTCATTATTGAAACAAACTGTGTCTGACTTAAAAACGGTATTCTCCACACAGTCTCCTTGGAAAATTAAACCGATAAAATTAGCAAAGCAGGCTGACAGTGTCAACTGCGGCATAAATATTTGTCACTTTGCTCAACAAACTGTAGATGGTGCTGAATACGGTCTTCCTACATCCCCAGTTGAGTTTCGAAAATATATATACTCAGTCATTGTAGGCAATTGTCTGAAGAGATCCTCCCTCTATGACGAATCTTGTGGGAAGTGTGGAGCTCAGTATTCCGATACAAATGATTTGCAAATTTGGGTCTGCTGCTCCAGCTGTCAACAGTGGTTCCATGAATCATGCACCAATTATTATTCTAAAAGTTGTTCTGATTCTTTTACTTGTTCTAAACTGTAATTTGTGAAACATTTGGTTTTAAATAATAGTTTATTTAAAAATATTCCATGACTTCAACAATAGTTGTTTCTTGTGTAACTTTATGTGTGAGACTTCTGACCGTCACTGTGAACACTTGTTAGCAGGTCCTACCGCTTGTGTTGAAGTATGTGTATTCTTTTTGTATGTTTTATTGTTCCAAGTAATGTACACGCCCGTGTCACTACATATTCCTATCCTCTGTATTCCTTTAGTTTATAGTATTTTGATTCTTTTAATTGCTGCTCATAATTGCCATGCTCAATGTCCAGTGAAACCCATTATATATTCCCTTTTGTACTCGTAATTGTTACTTGCTAATGCAACGCAAGACATTCCTGTGTATTGCAAATCTTAATGTCGGTCTCTTGGATGCACTTCATTATTTCTTCTTTAAAAAATCTTGTAATTTTTAATAATTTTCTTAAACTCCAGTATTAAAAAGTATTCTCCAGAAATCTACTCGGTTTCATTTCATTCCTATTATCCCTTATCCCCAGCACACCAACGCGCTACAAATAACCGGCATTAAGTGGCTGAACTTTTCCCGAAACTTTCCAATCCTGGTGTCGTTTTTTTTCTCACATTTTGCTTTTTCGTCTTCGGTTTTTGCCAAAGTTCAATTCATCCACCCATAGGACGTCCCCCATACCTAGACCGGTACCCCTCCCCTTCCCCCACCCTAGACCTCGGCCGATCCTGATGTCTCCCATGTGCTCTACCGCACGTCTCACGCCAGGCGCCTCACTTCACGCCGTCTTCCGGGCGGTCTCCCCTTGCGCTTCCTGACAGAGCTGAGCATTTAAAGTT